AAATGGGCCCCCAACCTAACCATTAGGATGAAGGTCCGTTGGGAATGAGATCCATTAGAACTGTGGGTCTATAAGGATTTGAGTTGACTCGAAAAGGAGCCCACGAGGATTGGGACCCCATGCACTAAGGTTGGATTCCAAACCTAGTGATAAAGAGGTCAGGGCCTAGTGGGAGAATGAAAAGGGCCATGAAAGATGACAAACTGGTGCAGGAAGTGTAAAGGTGAACTTACTTTGAGAAGGAAGTAACATCTCCCACTTGCTGACCTCCACACTAGTTGAGATGTGACCTAGATGTAATACGGCATCTTTTAAGCGTGTTTTTTTTATTTTATTACCAGGATACATGAAACACTACATGGGTTGCACTAACCCCGATGGCTCCGTGTTTTCAGAGCCATCGGAAATATGTGTGTGTGTGTGTGTGTGTGTGTGTGTGTGTGTGTGTGTGTGTGTGTGTGTGTGTGTGTGTGTGTGTGTGTGAGAACGAGTTCCTCCGATTGACACAGCAAACCCCACTTGAGAATTTCCTACTGAATAAAATTTCACCATCAATATAGTAGAGTGAACTGAAACCCCCGCCAATTTAGTCGTCTTTTTCTTATTCCTAACACTTTGGTAAGATATCAGGTAGGGTTTTAGTGGAGTCTCCCCTGTTGGGCCGGGGCGGGGGGTCGTGTTTATGAATCGCTGAAGCGGGGCTGTGATTCCCCTCAGGCACCCTAGGAGGGCCGGGCTAGACCTTTGTGACTCCTCCATGGTAGTGACAAGAGAGGGCAGGGTTGTGAAGGTCACGTACGGAAATAACCTGGAATACTGGTGACGCAAATGGATGGTGCCTTGGCCACCCTCTCCTCCCTCGTGTAGAGCTAAAACAACAGGTCGTGGAGGAGGAAGATACACACTTTTGTATGTTTACTATATTGCTACTGTTGTGCCCTATCAATACGTCTGACTCCCTTCCCCAAGTCTGAAGTTACATTATACAGGAATATAATAACATACACCATGTTTGTATTCATATACCCATGGTCGAATACCCATACTCTTTATCAGGGCTGTGATTTACGTCGATTTAAATCTAAATATTTTTTTAACAATAATTGAAATTTGTTTTTCCCTTGAGATTCTCTGTGGTAGTATAGCTACAGTAGGTATAGGCAGCTACCAAACAGGGAGGTACTACCGCCTGGGAAGATATTGGAAGCATAATGTATTGTCTAATGGTAGATCCTGCTGCCATATGGCATCACGAAAATTGTGACCAAGTCCCAGGTTGCTGATCTGACTTTCTGCCTCATTTACACACTATTGCAGGGTCTCAATTGTTTCTCTTACTTGAACTACACAACATACCGGTATATAATTTCTCACTCTTGGTTTATTTTTCAATTTATATTTATTTATGGTTATTATTTTGATTATTTTGATTATTTTATTTGTATTGCCATTAATTGTATTAATTGTTGTAATAATAATAATAATAATAATAATAATAATAATAATAATAATAATAATAATAATAATAATAAAAGATATTATTATTATAATTATTATTTATTATTATATTTTCTCCCCCCAGGCCCCGATGTGGGTCAGTGACCTATGCCCGGGTGGGCATATCCCCGTAAAAAAAAATCGACTACTTAGGATGTACAGGGGGTCTTCGTAATATGTTGTACCACTATCCGTCATTTCATATATACGTCGCTTACAATACTCTAGGAAAAAATTCATTCTGTCACTTGTTTCACATATACTGTACGTCGTCTGCATCTGAATATGACGCATAGTGTTAAAAACATCTAATATAATGTTAAAATTACTACAATAAGTAATAAACTGATAAAATAAAAAAAATTACACGTAAATCATTTCTAAGGAATATTAATGTTTATAAGGCTTGTTTTTTTATTCAACTTACTTCGAAGTTAAAATTCCAATTATTTCTCCATACGAATTTTGCTGCAGAGAGTTTAATCAGATTTATTTCAAGCTCTTACGGCGAAATATGTCTGATTAATTGAGACATGAGTATGCTGTAATCTAATGTTATAATTTATCTATTTTATTTCAAGTTTTATTTAACCCCCAATAAGCCGTAGATGGAGAAAATGTCATATAAGATTCTTTGAGTTTCTCTTAATTATTTTTTTACAGCAGATGTAATTAGAAGCGATTGTGTAATATCATTGATGCGCCCAAAAGTAGGTCCGTCACCTGCCTCAGTGTTTTACATTTGCTGAACATGCTTGACCGTGGGAGTGCTTACAGTAGTTGAGGTTGCTGTGTGGTTTGTGGTGTGGCGATAACGTAGCATAATTCTTATAAATGGCATAAAAATATACAGCACAGTACTAATAAGATTCGGGTGGCATTGCATTTAAAACCTCTTAGCTTGGCTAGGTTGGGGTGAGTGTAAGGGGACTGGGAGCCGACTCAGCTTATCCCATTCATACTTGAGTGTTGTCTCTGTCCCCGTGTTGTATCATGGTGTTTGGATGTCATGATGGAAGACGTATATTATGAAATGTGCATTGTCCGTGTGTTTATTCCAGTAACACTGACTACAAGTCCGGGTCTGTTTATTTTTGCTAGAGCCAGTTATGTATAGCCTGTGCACAAAATAAACAACCTTCATGCGCCGCACCAGACTGATTTGGCTATCACCTTTTAAATAACCATAGAAAGGGTCGCGGTGTCGCCAACAGCGCTAGATATGGGGTTTCAGTGTTAAATCCCATATGATGGCAGATTCGTACCAGCCAACCTAACGATCTTAGTTTTTTTTTTAACCGAGGATTAGATTGTTCTTGTCTGCTATCATAAATGGCTTAGCACCGTTGCTTCCATAACTAACGCGGTTGATGGATCCGACACTCCTCTCATGGAGATTTAGAACATAATTTTCCTGCTGCTGACCAGATTTACAGGTCATGATGCAGGGTGCGGCTTACTGCGCATCCTACACAATTACCAAATCGGCCTCGCGCGTGCCAAGGTCGTTTATATTGTAGACTGTATACCCGACACTGGCAGCCAGAAATACTGTATATATGAAAGTAGGACTCGGTGTTTGTTGCCACTTCCTTGTGCTTTGTTTATAGAAAACCTTTGAAATACCTACAGATTGCAACAACAAAAATGAAAGTGTTTTATTTGAAATCATCACCGGTGTAGTAGTGTGCTTGATAGTTGTTTGTAGGTAACCAAGAGAATAACGGATCTGCGTATAGTATTGAGTACCTTACGTATTTGTAGTTTTATTGTAGCAAATAGTGAACAAGTTGCGACTGTAGTTTTTGTGTAGTTACTCGACCTGATCACGTCCAAATAATTTAATGCTGAATTTTATCTTGTAAAATAATTTATCTCCTGAACTTCATGACTTCACTTACCCCAGAATAGTGAACTATTCTCATCTTTAATGTTTACTTGTTTCTTAGTTTTTTTTTTTTAATGATTTACATCATGTCCCAAAGTTATCGTGCATCCTCATTTCGTCTCACCATTCACGTTTTCTGCTGTATTCACCTTCAATCAGAGTACCATCCTCACATCTGAATGTTGGCGACCACAGTCCTCCCACTCTAAATGGTCTCGGGCAGTTTTTACCAATCCTCCGAGGTTTTGTATCTCTGGGACCCAGTTTTTAATTTCATTCACCCATCCCAGTCTCTGCTTTACCGGGCCCTCCTACCCTCATCTTTACCCTTTAATATTTTTTATTATCCCCGCATCCCTAATTATATGACCTAAGTATTATTCACCATACATAAACCAAACTATTGATAATTATAATCACGCGCGGATCATCCGGGAATATCAAAGGCGGGTCCAAGAAGTTGTGGGTGGGGGCAACATGGTGAGCACAGCTAGCCCATCCTGCTGGGGGGGAGGGGGGGTAATCCCCCCCTTTTTTTTGAGCTGACCAATATCATGGGCATTTGGGGGGTATTTTGAAGCCATGTGCACTTGATATTAGGAGTTATTCTGAGGTCACTAGTAGTTACTTTTTTCTATACAACAACGCCTGAGTACAATACTGTTTTAAAGAAAAAACATTGGATTTTTCTGGTGAAAAGGAGGGCCCGGACCCCCAGGAACCCTCCCCCCCCATTGGGTCCGCCTCTGATATTACAACCCTGTCGACAGTTTTCCCCACTTTTCATTCTTGCATTCAGAATTACTGTACTCGTTTTCTCCCTTTCCATTTAAATTTTTCTTTACGTTCCATTTTGCTTTTCTCAGTATTCCGACTGACAACCTGTAGTTTCCAGATGCCTGCTAGGCATTCCCGCTTATACAGTATTGTGTACCACTAAAAGTTTTCACCGTAGAATTTCCTTCCAGAGCTGTTGTGAGATTCTTGTATGATCTTGTAATTGTCAGTCTAGTTTTATAATCCTTATGCTTGTCAAGTCCACCCTATTCCTTAAAATCTTATGATGCCAGCTCTGTCTATATACAGTACAGCCATATTCATCTTCTCATATTTAACCTCCCATTTCCACTCTTTGTTCGTTTACCTTCAGTAATTCATGATCTGTCTCGGTCTCTTTTTTTTTTTCGTGCATCACATATAAAATACAGTACAGTGCGTACTCCATTTCCTACTTATGTTTTTCGTTTCTCTTTTATCTTTGTCCACGTTATTCCTTGTACGTACTATACCACCTAATTCATGTTTTTCACTTTGTCTCATCTTATGTCTTTACCTGGTTATGTCTTCCAAGTTCTTGAACCTTTAAATATTTCTGCCATATTAGTCGCATATTTTCATGTCCTTCAACTTATAAGTACTGTACAGTACTTGACCCTGAACTTGCCTCGAGTATAGCACTGTACTTAATACAGTACAGTATATTTTATTTCTTAAACAAGTTGCTTGTTTTGTGTTTAAACCCTTTAATGAACTTTAGTGAGTAAAATTACACTTTATATATATTTTTTTGGGGCGTGATAAAGTATATGCTAAAGGCCATCTTTTTTATCAACAGATCTGCAGGAGCTTCTCCCAGCTGCTCCAGATTACTTGGAGTCACCAGTGTCAGATGGCACCATTGAGGAGAATTTTGAGGCCGAGCTAGGAAGTGCTCTTGGGGAGGAGGATGAACAGGCACTCCACCACACCTTCACTGATGATAATGATTTCACAGATATTGCCAGACATGGTATTGTTGATATTGTTGGTGATGATACCTATGGCAGGAAGGTCATCGTGGTGTCTGCGTGCAAGATGCCCAGTAATAAAGTTTTCAACCATGAAAAATTTCTGAAGTAGGTTTATATAAATTTTTTTCTCTCACATGTTACTGTCCTCATTAAGGGCCCATTATTTATTATTTTTTTATATTTCTATGTACTGTACAGTCTCGGACAAAAGTTCACTCCCCATCGTCAAACTCAGTCACAGGAACGCGTCTCTGAATTTACAGTACAGTACTCACTGCCGGATTTAGACCTGTGGAGGCCCATGGGCAGCCTCTTTGTGGAGGCCCCCCCTCATTATAACTGCCCAAGAGGGTGGGGTGGCGAGTGAAGTGAGCCTAAACATTTGGGAGTTCCGGGGGGCGCTGTAAGCCCCCAGGAAAATTTTGAAATTTGAACACTTCTTTGGAGAATTTTGAAGCCATATTTAGTTATATTAAGGAAATTAGAACATTGAGAAATTTTTAATTAACTGTATATTTATTGATAGTGTACAAATTCCCAACACACACACAAAAGTGAGACATGACTGGAGTCATTCATGTGGTTTCAAGTCGACCAGCCCTGATATAGCTACTACTGCACATGTGGAGGCCCCCAGATTGTGGAGGCCCCTGGGCAGCTGCCCACTTTGCCCACTCCTGAATCCGGCCCTGACAGTACTTACCCTTACTGTTATACAGCTTATCTCGTCTGGGGTCGATGCTGGTTCATTTTGGGAGGGAGCGAACTTTTGATCCCGACTGTACTTAATTTTGGTGGTAATGGGATATACTGTATTATCATTGAGTGATTTAAATTGTTTCAATAAGAGTCTTGTAATTGTAGAGAAAACAAAAACTATGCACCATTTAGAAAGAAGTAATGTAAGCAGCAATGAATTTAAAAACAATATAAATAAAATCCACAAAAGCCTCATCTTTTAAGCATGAAACTTTTCAAGTGAGTAAAGTTGCTTAACAAACGTTTTTTGTTGGATCTCTTTTTAGAGATTAAAAAAAGGAGAAACTCATAACAGCAGTGATATACAGTACAGTACAGGGATCCACAAAGCTTACACTGTGCCCCAGTACAGTCTTTGGCTTCGCAGGAGACAAACCTACAGTACTGTATATGGAAAAGGGAAGATATTTGGGGAGGCGTGATGAATAATGAAGGGTGTTTTAGTGGACGGATTTTCAACAGTGTATTGCCAATAACGTTTGAAATGGAGCAACTGTGTTAGGTATTTGTGTTTATGTGTGTGGGATGAGGATGGGAGGGCAATGAGAAAACAGTGAAATGAGATAAAAATAGTTTAGTCAGGGAAGCAAGAAGATCTGAGTAGAATTATGTTACTTACTTGTTTATTATAAAACTTTTTATCACAATTCCATAACTTCATAAATACGTGTAGATATGGACATTGGATTGCAATTGCTGAATTTACCCTCATCCTAATATATCCCCATTCAAAATAGGCTTTAACCATTAAGATTAGCGATCAGTTCAAATGACCCCATGGCCTAATGAGTGCCAGTCCTAATTAATGGTTAGGTCGTGTTAGATTTGACTGAGCTTCTAATTTGTAATTGTCTGAGAAGAGTGGTGATCTAAACTGTTCTCCGCTACCGACTATTGCACATTATCTGCATTGGGCCAAAAACATGCAGATACTACTGTAGTAAAAACTGTACAGTATTAAGATGGGCTAAGACTTTCAGATTATGGTGCTGTTAAGAAACATGTGGTCTAATTATATAGTTCAGACAATAAAATGTCACTGAAATGTAACGTATTTTCTTTTTTTTTCTTTTTTTTTTACTGGTAATCTTTATTTAATTTTTTTACCAGGTACCTGATGTTTACATTAGACCAGTATGTTGAGCAGGACTACTCGCTGGTGTACTTCCACTATGGACTTAACAGCAAGAACAAGCCTCCTGTCTCATGGTTGTGGTCAGCATACAAAGCTCTTGATCGCAAATATAAGAAGAATCTCAAGGCTCTCTATCTGGTCCATCCAACCAACTTTATCAGAGTTGTGTACAATATCTTCAAACCTGCCATTAGGTAATTGTTTCACTATAAAAGCCTTGGTATCAAGTATATTTTACAAAAGGTTTTGCTGTGCTTAGATGTTCATAGTATTGTTCTTGATTTAAATTTGCTTGACAATGGCCAATGAGAGTAGAGTTCACATTACTGTAATTGCTTGTTGTGAATTATGTATTTTGAGAAAACAGAATTTTCCCATATGTCCTCCTTTCAACTCTTGTTTATATAGAGTATACTGTACTGTATATATATTTTTTTACAGTGCCAAATTTGGACGCAAGGTGATGTATGTGAACTACTTACATGAGCTGCAGCAGCACCTTCACCTCGGCCAATTACCTATTCCTCAACGTGTCCAACAGTAAGTACAGGACAGTATTGTGGTGTAGTGGATAGAAGGGAGGGAACACAACAAATTAATACAGCAATTTTATTTGCATCTTTATAGACAAAGTACAATTCAATGCGTTTATTGTTATCACAGTAGCTAAAAGTTTAAGGAAATAATTTGGTTAAAATGCATAAATCACACTGAACTCCCCTCCACAGGCATGATCAACAACTTCTTGCAAAATTGAAAAGCCTTCCCAAAACTCCTGGGGCAGGATCCAATAAGCCTCTTCCCACACAGCAGTTTGGTGTATCTTTACAATACATCAAAGATGCGAGTGATCAGGACCCAATTCCTCCTGTACTAAAAAACTGTATCACCTTCCTTGATCATCCAGATGGTAAGAAGGATTAATCATTTTAACATTATCCATATGTTCTCTTTTTCCTATAATTATCATTCTTATATAAAACATGTTAGTTACAATTGATTTTCAATAATAATTAAGCCTTTTGATGTTAGATGGTTGACATTTGAGTGAAACAATCAGTTGCCACTTACGCCAAAGTATTTTATACTGAAATTCTACCGATACATCGGTACATCTGTAATGTTGAGTGTTGTATGTTGAAGGTTAATGTGATTCAAATGTTGGACAGTTGAGTAACTTATGTTTCTTCTTGGCTTCTGGTAACATTCAAAAGAAGCGACTGTACTTTTTTAAATTTTATAAGGCTTTGCAGCCAGTCTTATATAATTTTCACCCAACTTCTCATGAGTTGAGATGAGCATCAAGGGATTTTCCGTATCATTTTTGCTGAGGCTGGGGCATTCACTTCATGGTTTTGTAATACAAGATGATGGTAGTAATACATTTTAGAAGTAGTACATCTCATTCTCTCTATACATACTGTATTCATCATGATCATATTGATAAGGTCACCACTTTGCAGCAGTTCAGTGTAGGTCATCGCAAACAAGTCCTTTGTTGGTACCATGTCAGCAGGAACTAGAATTATTAAATGGAAATTTCTTATTTCTATAGCCTGAAAACTACGATAGAGTGATTTGCTGATCTACCCCCAGGTGCTCAAACAAACACATAATGTATACCGTATATGTCAGCGTAAAAGATGGAATTTGAACTTTAAAAAAAATCTGCCAAAAATTAGGGGGTCGTCTTAAACACCAGGTATACAATCTGAACCTCTACATCATGTGGTTTAGTGTGTCACCAGTGGTGATGGAGAACATCGTAAAACACTCGCCTTAATCCCACGGTACTACCACTAATTATTTTCTACTGAAACTTACGCTTGGGAAGCTGGATTAAAAGTAAGATTACCGGTATATTAAAATAATAAAAATGTATTATAAACTTATCTAACATACCGTAAATACTGTAAAATATAAACATATTAAACACAGGTATCATCACGCACCGCCCGCCATTTGCAACCGCCGCCGAAGTAAACAAACAACCAGTCCTACCAATCGTCTCGCGTTGCAAGTTTATAAATTAAAGAAAATACCTGCAGTGTATTTTATGCCTACATTTCTAATATATTACAGTACAGTTGTACCCCCTTAACGCGGTCAATTGAACCCAGAGGGTCCCGCGTTAAGTGAAAACCGCGTTAAGTGAATAACAGAACATATGGGATTAATTCCAATAGAACCCAGCCCGACCCCCAAACTCCACTTTTTGACGACAAATAACTATGTTGTAGTAAAAATAACATCTTAATTTTATGATGGTACATGCACACAATTAATACTTAAGAGAAATAGAGAAATACAGTCGCCAAGTTAATGTCCATTCAAATAATGGACTCAACTCCCTCCCCCTCTTCTCACACTACACTCACTGGCTCTTCCCTCTGAGAAATTTTTGGGGGAAAACCAGGTATAGTAATAAATAATTCCTCAAACTAAAGTTAGGATAATATAATTGACATTGCTGGATTCCTTGTAAGACCAGGAATATTTTGAATATAAATGTCATATATTTTTCACAAAAGATAACATAATTACCTAGAGAACAATTTTTATCTAAAAATTGTATGTTTAATGCAAAATATATGTTGTTTATATTCAAAATGATCACCAAATTATAAGAATTCCAGCAATGTAAATTATATTCTGGCCGGATAATTTGTATGAATTTTATGAGCTAAAACAAATATCTACAGTTAATAAAAAAAAAAAAATATTCTTCAACACTATCTGTCAATCAAAGTACCCCACCTTGCCTCCCCCCCTCTTCCAACCGCTCGGTCAGTCCCAACCCTCCCTCCACCCCCCACCAATCCTCCATTCAAGAGTTTTTAACATTTAGTATTAAATAATACCTCAGATTAAAGTTAGGATAATATAATTGACATTGCTGGATTCCTTGTAAGACCAGGAATATTTTGAATATAAATGTCATATATTTTGGACAAAAGATAACATAATTACCTAGAGAACAATTTTTATCTAAAAATTGTATGTTTAATGCAAAATATATGTTGTTTATATTCAAAATGATCACCAAATTATAAGAATTCCAGCAATGTAAATTATATTCTGACCGGGTAATTTGTATGAATTTTATGAGCTAAAACAAATATCTTCAGTTAAAAAAAAAAATAATTCTTCACCGGGTAACAGATGGTCGGTCGGTCGGTCGGTCCCTCCCTCCCCCCCACCCCCCACCCCCCACCAACCGTCCCAAGGAGATGTGTGGGATAACCACTAAATTTTAATAAATAATACCTCAAACTAAAGTTAGGATAATATAATTGACATTGCTGGATTCCTTGTAAGACCAGGAATATTTTGAATATAAATGTCATATATTTTGGACAAAAGATAACATAATTACCTAGAGAACAATTTTTATCTAAAAATTGTATGTTTAATGCAAAATATATGTTGTTTATATTCAAAATGATCACCAAATTATAAGAATTCCAGCAATGTAAATTATATTCTGGCTGGGTAATTTGTATGAATTTTATGAGCTAAAACAGGCAGTCAGGCAGGGTGGCGGGTTGAGGGTGGTGCGAATCTAAAAATAGCTCTCGAGCCGGACACTCACCGCGTTGCTGTGGAAAAATCCGGGTTAAGTGAAAGTTCAGCTTTGGCAAGGCACCGCGTATATGCGAAAACGCGTTAAGTGAAAGCGCGTTAAGGGGGTAATACTGTATATTATAAATAAACAAATAAATCAGTAAATCCATTTCAAGTACAGTAAATGGTAAAATTTTACTCGTCACCGACATTAGTTCCAGTAAAATAACCGACTCCTAAGTGATGTCACTAGTGTTTTCACTACACCAGCTGGTAACGTTTGATGCAGATTATGGTAGTTAGTTAACAATATTTTGCTATTGCTTGAAGTGAATTGGCCTTATTTTAAATAACCAAAGCTGTGTTGCTTAGCAGTGTGTTTAACAACATCACTCCACTGGTCAGTGGGATGGTTGGTAAAGGACTACTGGGGCAGTAAGCTCCCAGTGGTAAGTGTCAAATTTGTGGGAGTCTTATACAGCGAGTATAGCTCAAAACCTACGCTTTAAATGGAAATTTGGGGGGTCGTCTTATACACCCTGTGGCCTTGTATGCCGACATATACGGTATATAAATTTTCCCCGGACATCATTTTAACTCTTGTGGACTAAAATATAGTATGTAGAAAAATGTGGAAACCAAATATGAGTCCATTACTTCCTCAGTTCAGCCGTGGTGAATTTGTGAGTCTTGACAACAAATTAGATGTAAATAACTCTGTACATACATAAGTGTGCATAGTTCTGCAGTAAATTGTTGATAGTTGCCCATTAGGTCTTCAGTCAATATACTGTATATACTGTACTGTATACAGTACTCTACAGTATGTATGTGGAAATAGATAGTTCAACACAGTCCATTATATATAGTATATATGGAGGTAGAATGTGCAGGTCCCTTAATGTTTACCTTACAGGAAAAACAATAATTATACAAATAATGTAGATATTTTTCAGCATCTCATATACTGTACAGTATTTGATTTACTGGCCTATTATTTCATAGACTGCTTTCATTACAGCTCTAGAAACGGAAGGACTTTTCCGTCGATCTAGTGCAGCAGCTGTGGTGAAAAGTGTACAGGAACGCTTCAATAAAGGTGAAGACGTGAACTTTGATTTAGACACTGATGTGCACACAGCAGCAGTAATCATCAAAACCTTCCTTCGGGAGCTAGAAGAACCTCTAATGACTTTTGATCTTTATGATGAAGTTATCGAGTTTCAAGGTTGGTGATAATGTTGTCTATTATTCTCCCCAGTGGAAGGAGCCTGTATTTGCTGATTTGTCTGTCTGCCCGTCCCACTTATTTGTCCGACCAACACTTGTGTCTAGTTTATAGTTTTGTACCTGTGAAGGAATTTTGATGATAATTTAGAAGGTGGCTAATATCAACAGGACAATGTGTCACAGAGAACTCACATGTCCCCAATCATGAAGACCAATCTCACACTTTGGTGTGTGTGTGTGTGTGATAATAATTAACGGTTTATTGAAAGAGCATGGCAGCCGGAAGGCTGAAAATATACAATTACATAATTGGGGAATGGGTCTCTTGATTTACAAATGATGTACAAGTAACATAAGTGATACAAATATGACATATAATAATTAGGTGTTGATAATTTTTACAATGGTTGGGACTGGGCTGTACTTATAGCAATCAGTTCATGCTCGTATGGGTTGGTTGCGGTTGTGCAGGTGTGTGGCCAGGACAGTAGCTTGGGGCAATGCAGGTGTGCTCCATCCTTCAGGTTAGGTCAGGTGAAGCCATGAGGTCAGGTCAGGTTAGGTCAGATCCAGCCACAATCAGTATTGCTGTGTTTTTGAGCTTTTCCTTCGAGTTGAAATTGCCACTTTTGTATATCACTTGTGGGTTAATCGTCAATCCTTGCACTGTACTGTTGGTGTGAGGATGTTGATAAATCCAGATGGGAAGGAGGAGATGGGGAAGGGGAGAGCCCGACAGACCGGGCTAGCAGCTGTCTCCATGGTCAAGAGACCACGGCCCGTTAGCGGGCAGCGCCGACTACACACGTCATTACCCTATGAAGGCTGAGGGAAGTGTGTGTGTGTGTGTGTTTTTTTTTTTTTTTATTAGATTAGACTGGACAGTGTAGGAAATTTACCTAATCTGATCAATCAACAGGGGTACCCCATGGACAGGTCTGAGATTATCCCACACCTCTCTGGAAACAGAAGTTTAACTTATGTGTTGGAGAATACACCCAGTGGGTCGAATAAGTGGGTGACTCATTAGAACATTATGATTCATTATGCATTAGGGTGCATTTACACCGATGCCAAGTAGGACATACAGTAATCTCCCTATTAGCTGGAATACCCGGTCCTTGGAACTCTCCAATAGCCGGATTGAATTTAAAGCCTTCCTGGAAATTCCAGGAAAACTCTCTCCATTCCGAGCATGGGAAATGAGTTTCTTACGTCTTTTTCAAAAAAGAATTGAGTCCCCATTATTATATTGTGTTGAAATATTTTATCTAAGGATTTTTTAGTGAAAATTATGTAGAGAATTTATTCAGGATCATTATGGTACCAAATTCATCTCTGAAGCTCAATTAGAACAGTTGCTGTCAATAAAAGCTTGTACACTTTTTCACTATCCGTAACTATTTTCACTCGTGACTGTGGCCTAAATGTAATGGCAGTGTTTTTGTCCATGTGAGATGTGTAGTTTAGACTCTTCGAAACATTCTGGGAATGTGCGATTTTCTCTTGGAATGAGAAACTCGTCTCAATACTCGGAAATCTCATTCCCAGAAGAGCTCTGCACCAATTATAACTTCTGATGCAAATTGTCCGATAGTTTCATCTGGGGAGATAAAAAAACAGACAAGGAATAACTTTTTTTTTTTCCCAGACAAAACTGTTAGACATTTTAATTTTATGTTTATCCTCTTCGTCACTGATCGGCTCATTAGCCGCTGAATATATTGGCATCAGTGTGAACATGCCCTTAGACTACTGTACAGGTATTCATAAGCTTCAGTTACTTAAATTTGACTTAGATTATAGGAAGTACTGTACTTCATTACAAATGAACTAAATCATACTGAGTGACAGTTATTAGTACAGTACAAGGGTAATCCGATATGTCACAGTTCAAACATTCAAAATGAGATGGTTTTTAACTTTAAGTTTGAGGTGTAGGGAGTGAGTCGTGGTATAGTGCTACTTCCTGTGGTATAATGGGCTCTTTTAACTAGGTCATTAAACATAAATCTATGTTCTAAGCTAATAGTAACTAGGAGGGAGGTCTTCCTGATGTATCATAAAATACTTATTTTTATTTTTCCAGTCATACCTGTTTTCTTTTAT